ACTAACAACAGTTATGTTACTTAATTTCTAAATGAAAGTGGACATTACACTGTAACTTACCTAAAATCTTATCAAAATAGTTAAAAAAAGCATCTGCATCAAAACTGATTGGAGTCTCGGAAGGTTCTCTGCAAGATTAAAGGAAATAAGATGATTAGTTTATCTGGAACCTAATTAATGGAAACGTTTTCTGCCGTGCTACTATTCTCAGGAATACTACAGCTATAATTTGAAAAGAGGCACAGTAAGAAAAATTAAAGTTTACAATCTTAAGAGTCCTTCTGCTTAATTTGCATTGTAGGGCAACAGAAATGGGAAAGTCTAATGAAAGAAAAGCAGAAGTTGTTATCTTGTTTGTACACACTATGTCCTTTCTGCTGACCTTAGAACCTATCCACTCTCCATGCCCCATAAAACCTATCTAGCACTAGTAACAGCAATTCGAGTTACCGGTAATTTAAATAGACTATCTCTTTAAGACCTAAATCTTAACAAATAAATAAGGATATAGCTTCCCTTATCTATGCTTTCTTAAAATACAGAACATAAATCTTAATCATTTTATAAGGCTCATGGGCATCAACACTAACCAAGATATATTTGCTGTATTTGTACAGTGCCGGTTCTAGCTGTACTTAATATAATTTGTATTTCTTCTGTTTCTGTTAGCTTCTAAACTGCTGTGGAGTGGGAGGTCAGAAGTCTGAGCTTGCTGAGAACTAGATGTTAGAAGTCCACAAGGCTCTGAATAAAAAACTAAGGAGTGAAGTATATGGTTCCCCAGAGGCCTCTGGGAGAGTGGCTTTTGGATGTATTGACTGGTCTTTCTGACTTACTTCAAAGATGCAAAGGATAAAGCTTCTATAAGTCTGACACCAGATAAGGACCGTATGTAGTCGAGTATAAGCCCAAACAGATATCAGCGGAGGCACCTAATTTTACCATAAAAAACTGCATAAAATGTGCTGGAAAACCCGACTTATACACGAGTACATATGGTTATTACTGTACTAGGCATCATGAGAGAGAAACAAAGCAATGCAACTCCTTTATTTGAGGAGTGGACATGGCAATAATTATAAGTTCAATATTTGGGCTGCTACTATTTAGATAATTATCCTTCAAGACAAATTATATACCGAGGCAGTTCTGCTCCCTTGTGGGTTGAGACTTTGGAAATGAAAGCTTTCATGCTCTCCGAGACGTGAGTCAAGTCATAGTTCTGCTCTTCTACCTGGGACATGGGCTCTGACTCTTTTTTGCCAGCAGCTTCCTGCAGTAGCTGATCCAGCTGATCTGGTGAGAGATGTAGCCACTTGTCATCTGAAAAAGGAGAAAGCATGATACTGTCACATGACTCTTAAGGGAGGATATGGAAAGACTTAGTGGACTCTGGTAATTCTTTCTGGCCCTTCCACTCCAATCCGGTCCATCACTTACCATCCTCAGGGGGAAGGTTTGCTTCTTCCTTCTTAAAGTCTCCTATGTCAAATTGTCTTGTCTGTAACAGGGTTAAGATTTCTTCACCTGGGCTCAGAGCACGAGCGCTATATAAAATAAAAGACATGGCATTTCTTTATACAAGAGCCTAGATAATGACAAATATCGTCATGTTAAACTTGGAAGGGATTATCCAGGTTATTGGTTTAAAAATTTTCTTTGGTTTCAGATATCCTTTCCCAAAATTTACCAGGAACTCTAAAATATAGAGATGTTCAAAAGAAAAACTGCTTTGGTTGAAATGGAGGTTGGAGGCTTATAGACCTCCTATTTCACCCTCCCCTCTTGTTCTTCTGCAGATCCCCGGAACCCCATGAAACCATTTAGAAGCCATTAATCTAGTAAACTCAACAAATAAACTCATTGCCATCAAGTCATTGCTGATTCATAACAACCCCCTGTGGGTTTCTGAGACTGTAACTGTTTACGAGAATAGAAAGCCCAGTCTTTCTCCCAGGGAGCTGTTGGTAGTTTCAAACTGCCAGCCATGCAATCGAAGCCCTCTGTGTAACCACTATGACACCAGGGCGCATACAATCCCTTTACTTATATCTGAGGAAAAGAATGACTCAGATTAATCTAGCAATTATTACCTGCCAGGCTAACAACATAAAGAAATACAAAATTTATTTAGAGTGAGTTATTCTATGATAATAACTTGTTTTATATATATGAGGGGGTACCCAAAAAAAGACAGAATTGTGCTGAATGGAGTAGAGCTTTCCTAGTATGCATTTTTCCAGCTAGGCGAGTCTTGTGCAACTTGTTCTGAGTTAGTGCACCCAGTGGCATATCCTGAAGGTTCTCTCTGGTCATAGTACATTTTTTTATAAAATCAGTTTCACTCGAACCTCATTTTGGAGGATGAATGATTTAAAAGAACAGTTTGCGGTTGTGGAATTCTGTTTCCTTCTTGGGAAAAATGCCACAGAAACTGTTGTGATGTTAAACACAGCTTACAAGGACAGTGTTATGGGAAAAACACAAGTGTACAAGTGGATTTCTTGTTTCAAAAAAGGTGAAATGCTGATTATGGACACCTTCCTACAAAGATGAAAATGTCGACTCATGGTACATTTGGAGTTTGTTCCACCAGGTCAGACTATTAATCAAGCTTTCTCTTTAGAGGTTCTGAAAAAACTGTGTAACAGTGTGTGACAAAAAAGGCCTGATTTGTGGCAGA